AAGTGATGTGCTAAACTGCTGAGGAAGCTTCCTTGAGAAAGATCTTGTTAAGTGGTCTCAATCTTGACCTCGAGGAATGAGGGGAGGGTGAGGTCAATTATCCTCTAGTGAAAGTGAGTATTGGAGTGGAAAAATAGTTTAAGAAGGAGAAGGAAAAGAGTTATAATTATTGCTGTGTATTTATTCATATCTCATGTTTATTGAATGTCTCAGGTAGCATACTAAGTGCCTTGAATGTGTTTTTAAAAATGAGAAATTTAAAAACATTCCAGGCATTGAGGGGTAAGTTGAATTTACAAGTTGAGAGATATCTTCACGAGTCTTTTTTCTTTCAGCAGTGGGAGGTAATAAAGCATAGTGAGGAGGATAGTCGCTGGATTCAGACTGCTTGAGTTTGAAGCCCTGCTTTGCCCCATAATACCTGTGTGACCTTGGGTGTGGAGAGTTTAAGTTACTGCATTGTATTGCTGCCTTGGCATCCATTTTGTTCAGCCAAGTGGTTTGCTGGGACCTTAAAATGACACTATCCCCCTCATGCAAGCACGTGCCTTAGATAGCCCACGGAGTCACAAACAAATGTAAGTTCCTGATATGACTTCCCCAGCAACCCTCGTGATCAGCTGCCTCCCAGCACCTGTATGCTGTATGGGCCCCCTAGAAAAGACCCCTGGGGCTTACCAAAAACCTACTCTTTCGGTTTAAATTGATCTATCTTGTCCTAGCCTAGGAACCCAAAGTACTCCACCCACAGACCCTAATAAAGGTATGTGCCCCAGGTCCTGTCTTTCTATCTGCACTCTGCCTTGACCTCCCCGTGTGGCTCTTCCAGTACCTGTAAGTAATAAACTGTTCTATTTCAGTTTCTCTTGTAGTCTGTTGTTGAACTTAAGCTTACCATCCAGCACCCTGGGCTCCACTTAACAAATGTTAATTTAACAAAGTCAAAACATTGGATAAGTTCCTTAACCTCTCTAAGCTTCATTTCTTCACCTGTAAAAGGGGATAAAATAGTTCTGATGTATTTAGTGTTGTAATGATTTAGTACCTGGAACATAAGACACATTCCATGTTAGCTATTAGGGTTTCATGCCTGGGAGGACAAACAGTAAAAACAGTCCTGAGTTACAGTGGAGACCTGCCTTTCCAAGTTAAATGTTTCAGAAAGGTGCCCCCAGTCTGTGTCAATCAAAAACCAAACAGCTTGTTATTTTAGAATCTTAACCAAAAGGTGTAAGAATAGCTTGGATGAAATTTGCATTTGTGCATGTAGAAGATAATTTATCTTACGAGCACAGATGAAACCAGGTAGCAGCAGGGACAGTGTGGTCTCCTATTCACCCTATTGGTGAAGGAGGGTTGTCTTCCCTAGGATTATGGGGAGGCTGAACACAGGACGCCTGACACTTGTCAAATGAGATCCACTACCCAGGGATAATCTGGAAGTGTGCCTGGTCTCTTTGATAAAGAGGGTTATTTGGCTAAGGGACCTCATCTGCAGGGGCAAAGTGGTGAGGGGAATTTGCAGTTATGCAATTGGAGGCCCTACTGGTTTCCCCAGATGTCAAGGCAGTACATTAATATAGGGCCTTAATTTTATGCTTTGCATCATAAGGACTGTGTGTCTTTAGAGTCCGGCAGGCCCATTGACCCCTATACTCTTATATTCAAAGAACTGTTATCTGTATGTTTACTTTTAGATTGCCTGCTTCTTGATTGGGAGACCCTCTGAGTCCAACTGTGCATAGGTATAATACCTTTTCCCCTGGATAAAAAAAAGTAAAAAAAAAAAAAATAATGCATTCAAACAATGAAACCAAATATACTTATTTTGTAAAGATTTTTTAAAAACCAAATAAAGACATAAACAACTAAACTTCGGGGAATTGAGCCTGTTAGTTTTTCCCATTTATGAGTAACAGCAGAAATTTTAAAAAGTGACAAACATAATAAAAAGAAATGTTTAATGTTCTCCAAAGAACAGATAGACAATATATTCCTTTTCCAGAAAGGAATGAAAGGAAAAACAGGGAACAAACCCTGAATCTCACTGAATACAACTTTTGTTACATAGAACTTTTTCTTTTCAGAGCTCCATTTATTTTCTACTTCTAGTGCTTCATTTTTTAAAAATTGGCTTTACTAATTCCCGGGTTTCTGAAAACTAAAGTTTTAACCAAACCAAAACAGACTCCTTTTTTCTTTTATAAATGTGTGCGAACAAATGAAATTATTTCCAAATGTAAAACTGTTTCTCTCATATATTGTAGAAAGCGAAATGAGCAGTTAGGAGCTATGTCGTGGGTATGGCAGAAAAGATGATGCACTTGACAGCCCTCCAAGGCTGCATTTCTGGCCCAACCTCTCAGGCTGACAGTAGCCTAGCATTTGATATTAGAACATCAAATCCTAAAAATTGAGTTCACATTTATACCAAGTTTTTAAAGATTAAAATGTAAAGGGATAACTGGACTTAACTGGACCCATTGAATTTGTGAAGATGATAGACGAGATAGATAGATAGATAGATAGATAGATAGATAGATAGATATGAATTAAACAATTCAGCCATTGAATTATTTACATGCCTATATTTTCTGATAGATTAAGTGAGAGAGGATTGGAGAATTGGGAGCTCCTAAAGTGAAGACTTTCTCCAGAGAATCCTTGATATAGACTGAATTGTGTTCCCCCTGCCAAATTCATAGTTTGAAGCCCCAACCCTCAAAGTGACTGACTGTATTTGATAATAGGGCCTTTCAAGAGGTAATTAAGATTAAGTAATGGCATAAGGATGGGGCCCTGATTCAAAAGAACTGATAACCTTATTTAAAAAGGAAGAGACAACAAAGATCTCTCTCTCCCTCACCTCCCTTTTCCCCCTTCCTGTCCCTCCCCCTCCACTATGTGTACACAGAGAAAAGTCCAAGGGAGGACAAAAGGATAAGGCAGGAGTCTACAAGCCAAGAAGAGAGGTGTCACCAGAAACTTACTTTGGTGGTACCTTAATCTTGAACTTCTAACCACCAGAATGGTGGGAAAATAATTTTTGTTGTTTAAGACCCACAACCTGTGGTATTTTGTTATGGCAGCCCTAGCTAACTAATACAATCCTGAACCAGAGTAAGTTGTTTAAAATACATATTTAAAATGTTATAACGTTTGTTAAATCTCAAGTCTATTAAATTTTTTATTAGGTGAAGAACTTTAAGTACATCTCACACTTTTCTTCTTCCTTCTGATTTATCCTCTTATAACCCTTAGGTTTTGAAAACATAGAACATACCTAAGAACTAAAACATGTTGCCAGTGGATTTTAGCAGGCTAATTGTTCTCTTTAAATTATTCATGAGGTGCTAATTTCTTATTCATAGAAGGGTTCGATGTTAAATAATACCTTTATATTATTTTGAAATATTTTTTTTCTCAACCCAATAGCAGATTGCATGCCATATATTAGCATTACAAGAGGATTTAAAAATGAATGTACTAGTATGGTTTTGTTTAGTTAATTGCCCTATATCCAATAATATCTGATGGCTTAATGCTTCCTTTACCTATTTCTTTTTTGTTGGGTGGTATTTATAAGCTGCTTCTTCCCTCTATTTCTATGTCTACTTTAGGTTGAGTTGAGACAATATGCTTCACAGGTATACTTTGTAATTTTTGACAGGGTGGTAAAGCATTATTATCAGAAACTTGTACTTACAAATAATAACAACCCGAATAGAATTAGAGTTAGACAGAACCCTAAAATAATTTTCTGGGGTTATTCCAAATCTGATCTCCAGATGAAAAGATTATATGATATGGAAATCCTATTTTAAACTATTTTAAAATTTTAATAACTCATTTTCAAAATTCTCCACGACGAATTGAAATCTATTTATACTGTAGTGTGTGAGGTTCTTCTTGCTCTGGGGAGAAAGAACAGTTGCTGCTCTGCCATATGTCCTTTACACACATAGAATAAATTATGATGTCTTCCCTCAGTCTTCTTATCTCCACTTTCTTTCATCTTTTCCTGTGGAGCCTATTTCCTTACATTATCCTGTGGTTTCTTCCGAAAATGTAAATCTTACATGCTTATTTCAGTTTGAATACCACTTCGTATGGTCTAAAGCATTATGCAAGTGTAAATGATTATTATATTGTGATGGTTACATAATACATTATGATGATTATATTATTATCCTCGAACTGTACTCTTAGAAAATCAGTCCAGTGCTTGCTTTTAATGGTTCGTGGACAATCATTTGTCATTGAAAAATTTAAGTCTATATTTTTTACTCCATGGTCCATGTTTCATCCTTTTTCTGATTCTTACAACCATCTTCTTTAAATTCAGCTCTGATGAACATACACCAGTAGAGGATGAAGAGCCAAAGAAAAGCACCACTTCAGCTTCTACTTCAGAAGGTATCTTTTAAATACAGAGCTTTTTTATATTGGGAAGTTAACAAATGAGTTTATGTTCAATCTTAAACTTTGTTTTTACTCAATTTACCCATCATCTTTTCCTCATTCATATTTCATATATAATAAAATTGATGCCCAGAAATGCTTCTTTAGAAGTTAGTTTCTTATTTGTATTTTATGTAGAAGAAAAGAAGAAGAAGAAGTCTAGTCATTCAAAAGAAAGGTCCAAGAAAAGGAGAAAGAAAAAATCATCTAAAAGAAAACACAAGAAGTATTCTGACGATAGTGACAGTGACTCTGATTCCGAAACAGACTCCAGTGGTAAGAAAGTCAACATAATTCTGCGAGCCTTGTTTCAAAACTGGTTTTACTTCTTAAAGCCTATTCAGAAGAAGGTTCTTAGAAACAATAATTTTAGTTAAGAGTTTTTGAACACTTACTTTGTGCCGGACACCCTGCTAAGTGCTTGATAGTCATCATTGCTATTTTGTCCAAACAGTGACTGCAGGATACATCTTAGAGATGAGGAAAGAGAGGCACAGAGCAGATTGTAAGTACCACCCTCAAGGTCACACAGTTGGGATTCGAACTTAAAAAATGTGACTCCAGATTGGTTGTGTGTAGTTGCACAAGGCATGTGGCACTGAACCAAGTCAGGGCTGGGCTGTGAGACTTGAGGTGCCAAACCAAGCCGTACAGGGCTGTATCGGCCCAGGGTAGCAGCTCTTTTGTGTAATTCTCACACTCAGTGGGCACCTTTGTGCACTTTTCAAAAAGACGCACCATAAAGGACTCCCTTCAGGCTGGCAGCTGATTTGAGGAAGACACCCCCTGTGAGTGGCACATCACAAAAAGCCACCTTGTTTGTGTCCTCTCCTGGCTGATGATTGACAGAGGGTACCTCCTCTGGGGACACTATACCAGGCACCCCTTTCTCTGATGTCATCTGTGTTTCCTCGCCCCCACTGTCACTTTTCTTCCTCACTGCTGGAAGACTGGACTTTCTTAAAGCACAAATCTGAGCATGTCAGTCCCCTACTTAAAATCCTTCAGTAGCTCTCCATAGCCTTCAGGGTAAAGTTCAAACCCTGGTTGAACCCTCTCTAATCGCATATACCCTGTCACTTTCTCTCCTAGCATCCTCTGTAGCCTGAGAACTATTTTCTGTCTCCTCAATACTCCATGTTCTTTCTCTTGATTTTGTTACTTGATATGAGGTTTGCCTGCAATGCCAATCTCTCCCTGCATGCAGCTTGTCTTACTCATTTCAACAGTGGGCAGGCATCACTTTTGTAGTAAAACTGATTTTAAAAAGAACTAGCTTAAGAGTCACCCTTGCCTGGTCAACCATTCCTCAAATACCCTCCCCAAATCAGCCTGCATTTGAGACTCCTCTGTAGGCCCAGAGTACCCCAGCCTTCCCCTGTCACTCTGGATTCTCTTTATCTCTTTACTTCTGTCTCCCCCATTAGACTGAGCTCCTGGAAAGCATCCTCCAAATGTATACATAGGGGTTTTCCCCCTTTTTCACCATGAAAATACTTGCACACTCAAAAAAAGTAAAGGGAAGCACTCAGGTTTAACATATGTTAGCTTTTTGACCTATTTGTTTCAAATATGGGGTTTTTGCTGAGATATTGAAAGTAAGTTACAAATATCACAATTTGATGTTAAATATTTCTGTATGCAACTCTTAAAAGACATTTTCCTACTTAACCACAATACCATTATCTCAGTAAATCAATAATAATTCCCTGTGTCATCTAACATGTAGTAAAACAGCATGGTTTCTGACATAAATGTTCAAATGAATGAATTTCTCTGTAACAACGAATGGGACAGCAAAAGCATACTTAATCTGCTCAAAGGTGTTAAAGTTTAGAGGTAATTTTTTTTTCAATTAGAATGTATTTATTTTTTTTTTAATTTATTTTTATTATGGTGACATTGGTTAACAAAATCCAGTAAGTTTCAGGTATACAATTCAAGAGTAAGGCATATATATTGCATTGTGTGTTCACTGCCCATAGTTATATTTCTTTCTGTCACAACATTTTTGACTCCTTTTACCCCTCCAACCCTCCCCTGACCCCTACTTTCTGGTAACCACTGATCTATTGTCCATGTCCATGAATCTCTGTTTGTTTTTGCTTTTAGGTTTATATCCCACATATAAGTGATATCATGGGATTTTCTACTTTTTCTGTCTCATTTCTCTTAGCATGGCTATCTCAAGGTCTATCCATGTTGTTGCAAATGGCAGTATTTCATCACTTCTTATAACTGAGTAATATTCCATTGTATATAACTTAGCATGATTATCTTGAGGTCCATCCATGTTGTCGCAAATGGCAGTATTTCATCTCTTCTTATGGCTGAGTAATATTCCATTGTATATTATGTACCACAGCTTCTTTATCCAATCATCTGTGGTTTTGCATTTCTCTAATGATTAGTTATGTTGACCATCTTTTCATGTCTATTGGCTATCTGTATTTCCTCTTTGGAGAAATGCCTATTAAGGTCCTCTGCCCATTATTTTTTTAAACTTTTAAAAAATTTTTTGTTAAGTTTATTGGGGTAACATTGGTTAATACAATTATATATTTTTTAGGTGTATATTATCATTTGGCATTTGTATATTCTATTGTGTGTTTACCACCCAAAGTCCAGTTTTCTTCAGCTATCATATATTTGATCCTCTTTATCCACTGAGCACTGGAGCTCAGAGCAAGTGAGTCTGTCACCAAGTAAATCTATAATCAGGCCCTTTAAAAGAGATGTCTGAGACTTCCGCAGCCTTCTGTCTCACTCAACCACAATCTCTGCTGGTTTTCACAGCCAGAGCTTGTAGGGACTTCTCTTACTGGCACTGAAACCCTGGGTTTGGGAGCCTAGTGTGGGGCCAAGACCCCTCACTCCTCCTGGGGGTCCTCAGTAGCCAAGATATTCCTCCTAATTCTCTACTGTCACGTCTTTGCCCCTCCTCCCAGTCTTGAGGTGGCCTCTTATGTGTGTCCCCAGTTGTTGGACTTCTGTTCAGACAGACTTCAGGCAATGCCCAATGATAATTGTTCTGTAGTTTAGTTGTGGTTTTGATGTGGTAGTGAGAGGAAGCGAGCACAGCGTCCACCTACTTTGCCATCTTGACCAGAAGTCCCTTGTCCCTACTATTTTTATACCCAATCTTCTATCATAGGAGAAAAAAGGGATTGGTTTAGTATATTGAACAGTCAATACCATATTAGAAAAACAACATGCAAATCTGTGTGCTATTGAGATTTTAAATCACAATAGGAGAAAGTATTTCCTTATTGTAAAATATCTTAGGAAAGTTAAGACTGTGCTCCCTCCGTCCAGTTCACCCTTAGAGTGGACTATGTGCCAAATTCTTGACTAGGCTTACTGCTTTGTTTTTATTCTCCCACTTTTAATATTAGTTATTTTCCAGATCTTGGGGGCAAGACTAGCTAGTGCATTGCACTGTGTCCTCGCTGTTAATTTTTTGCCTGGTAATAGGAAAAGAAATCTTAAGTGTCCTGACAGCAGACTATCAGCTATCCAGCTGCTTTGCCCGCTCCTCACTAGAGATAGTGTCACCTTGGTAATGGGGGAAGCTGAACATGATAAAAAAACTCAACCCCTTTCAAAGTCAGATTGAGGGAAACAGCCCCCTATTTGAAAAGCCCCTCTTCATTCTGAAGTAAATAATCAACAGAAGCACATTGGATTTTAGAAGGTTTCTTTCAAGGATAACTAAGGGGTCCTTCATCCCCAAAATTCTCGAGAATTAAAAAGGTGGTCTGTGAGACTGGGCAAAATGGCATAGATGATAGAGACTTTGTACAACTCCTCTTGTGACCACACCAACATTGTGATGGAAACACGGAGAAAATAGGAAACAGAGTTGCCGCGGTCTAGAGGAAGAGAAGCCCTACAACTAGAGAGAGAAATAAGAAATTATCCTGCAACGGTAAAAGGTGGGAGAGGGTGAAGATGCGAGGCTGCATGGTCCTCAGCGGCTGAGTGGGACACAGGCTACGGCAGCTGCAAATGCTTCTTTTAAAGGGGCCATGTCCGTGAGTGGACTTTTGCAGTGATGGACTTGCTCGCTCTGAGCACCAGCACCAGATCGGCTGCTTAGCAGGGCACCAGAGACTTATAGGGGGACACAGAGTTGTTGGAGTGAGGGCCAGAGGTCAGCCTTTCTCCCAGGAAGAAGTGCTGTGGGTATCCATTGTTCCTCTCCTTCCCCCTCCCAGTGTGTAGATGCAGTGTTGCCATAACTGAGCCATCATCAAATTGTATAACAGAGGTCACTCCTCCTAGAGGAATCCCTGAAACTCCGCCTCCCCCAACTTGCGGCCCCACCCAAGCCACATCCAGTTGTGTCCTCAGCAAGTCCTGTGCCCCTTGCTGAGCAGCTACAACCCCCAGCTGGTGGCAGCTGGCCTCGGCTTCTGGCATGGCCTCTTGTGGCAACTATAAGCACAGCATCTGTGGATTGCTTGCTGAATCTTAACAGGTGGTCCTGGAGGGACACAGGCTAGGGCTAAACTTGTCCTGCAGTTGAAACCCTCTCAGGACTGTGCCACTGGACACCTACTACACAAAGCCATGCTAATAAGACTGGGAGACTTAGGAGCTTTGCTTAGTACATAGAAACAGATACAGAGAGGCAGCCAAAATGGGAAGACAAAGAAGCAGAAACCATATGAGAGAACAGAACAGAGATCTAGGAATAACGGAGTCCAGTAATCTAACATATGCAGAGTTCAAAACACTGGTTATAAGAATGTTCGATGAACTTAGAGGAAGTGTAGATGAACTCAGTGATAACTTTAAAAAAGAGAGAAAAAACAAAAAATGGAAATGGAAATTATAAAAGGGAACCAGTCAGAAATAAAGAATACATTATCTGAGATGAAATGTATATTAGAGGGAATCAACAGAATGTATAAAGTGGAGGATCAAACCACCCATATAGAGGATGGGGAACCAACCAGAGGACACCAAATCAGAATAGCAAGCAGAAAGAATCCAAAAAAAATTGAAAATAATTTAAGGAGCCTATGGGACAAAATTAAATGTAACAACATCTGCATCCTAGGGGTACCTGAATGAGAAGAGGGAAAGCAAGAATTTGAAAACCTATTTGAAGAAATAATAATGGAAAACTTCCCTCACCTGGTAAAGGAAATAGACATACAACCCCAGAAAGCTCAGAGTCCAAAAAGGATGAACCCAAAGAGGCCCACATCAAGACACATCATCATTAAGAAGCCAAAGGTTAAACACAAAGAGAGAATCTTAAAAGCAGCAAGAGAAAAGCAGTTAGTTACCTACAAGGGAGCACCCATAAGACTGGCAGCTGATTCCTCCAAAGAAACTTTGCAGGATGGAAGGGCTTGGCACAAAATATTCAAAGTGATGAAAACCTAGTATCTACAAAGCTATCATTTAGAATTGAAGGATAGATAAAGAGCTTCCCAGACTCCCCCCCTCCCAAAAAAAAGCTAAAGGAGTTCATTACCACCAAGCCAGTATTAC